GTCTGTGGCGGCACATAACAAAAACACAACTAGATGAGCGAGAAATCCGACCGGCACCCTCTGCATTAAAAGCCAGGTTAGTTCAGGAGTCACAACCCGAATGTTAAGAAGAGCCATTTTGCCTTTCAACAAAGTCAAACCACCTTGGGAGCCACAACATTTAGGCTCCCAAGTATGGCTCAGTATGTGCTAAAAATAAAAACGAAAACGCAGATTTACTCCGCTCTGCTTTAAGCTTTAGCTATAGCCGCTCTCCTCCCAACTCCGACAGAAAACTTTTCTTCAAAACTAGAAGAGTTTCTTGTAAAATGTCTCAGCATCCGGCTGTCGCTTCTCGTTCTAATTTTCCCGTTCCACCTTAAATTCTGTCTTAGGCGCCGAATGTAACTGCTGCACCATTTAAGGTGGAACGGGAAAATTCGAAAGAGAAGCGACTTCATTTTCGCAACTTTTTAGAGAAAGACAGTCTCTCGGCAGATTTAACCAACCGCGCTGCTTATAAATGCGAATAAATCCTCCGAATGTTTGTCTTAATCTCTGTTTTTTCGTTCGCTACTGGCGAGGCCAGACTTCGGTGCTATGTGACCTACTGTCTGTTCTCAGTCGTTGAGAACCAGGGCTTTCGTGCTATGCTACGCAGTCTCGAAAATTACACAACACACACACACACACACACACACACACACACACACACACTCTCTCTCTCTCTCTCTCTCTACGAGACCGAAGCCGAGCTTATAAAATCACTAAAGAAAACGGGAAGGATGGCTGTAACGTGCTACGTGGACACCCATTACCACTGGATCTTATTTCAGGGTAACGGCGCATTTTATCGCAGATGAGTGGCAGCAGCGTCTCTGAATGAGAGCCTTCTAGTTCACTTGCCACATCACTTGATTTATTAGTAAAATATATTTTAGATATTTAAAGCAAAGTATTTGTAATGATCCATAATGCATTTCAATTATGGATCATTACAAATACTTTGCTTTAAAACTACCAAGTCCTCAACAGTAGGAAGATGGAAATCCTGTATAGAGAAAAAGATGCATCGAGATGCATCGATAATTGTTTTATAATCGCAGCCCTCTGAATCGTAATCAAATCGAATTGTGAGGTGCCTAAAGATTCCCACCCCTACTAATGGATCATCATTATAGGATGGGTACTTGTGCTTTGTTCTGCAGGAGAATCAGGACCTGCTTCTGTGAGGCTGTTATGGCTCCTGCCGGTCCTTCAGGTAAATATAGAAAAAGCAGAACATCTCAAACAACACACAGCCATCAGGGGGTCTGTAGCTGGGGTCAAAGTTCAGGATACAGCAGGCCTGGCATAATGTATTCCTCAGAATCCGCAGTGGGGAAAGAAGATGGATAACATAGCTGCTTTCTGCATTTCCTTTGCATGGCTTTATAGGAATCGCTTTGAACAATGATATAAATTCTACTTGTATGCACAGATGATTTCTGTTTTTGTCTTGGTTTTGGAGGATACTGAAATCTTACTGACCTCTACATTAGAAAGGTCACATACATGCTAATAATAAAGTTATATGTCGTGCAGAATTTGTAAGATTACATGTTATTTCAGATAATCATGCTGAATGTAGCCCCTGGTTTACCACACTCCACGGGTGGAAATTTCAGACAGTACACTTGTTCCCAAAATTTATAATAGGAAAAGGCCTTTTTAAAAGTGCTATACAACAAAAACAGCATAGTAGCGAACGAAAAAACAGAGCGAACGAAAAAAACAGAGATTAAGACAAACATTTGGAGGACTTATTCGCATTTATAAGCAGTGCGGTTGGTTAAATCTGCTGAGAGACTGTCTTTCTCTAAAAAGTTGTGAAAATGAACTCGCTTCTCTTTCGAATTTTCCCGTTCCACCTTAAATGGTGTAACTGTTACATTCGGCGCCTAAGGCATTCGGCGCCTTCTTGACATTCGGGTTGTGACTCCTGAACTAACCTGGCTTTTAATGCAGAGGGTGCCGGTCGGATTTCTCGCTCATCTAGTTGTGTTTTTATTATGTGCCGCCACAGACTGTCCAGGCGCTGCACTTACCCACTTCCAGTTCTGCCGTTTGCGTTCCGTCAACATTACGTTATAAATTAAATATTTAGAAAATCGATTTTTGACATTTATGAATCGATTCAGAATCATTCACGTCTGCATCGCGATGCATCTAAGAATCAAGTTTTTCCTGCACCCCTAATATATATATATATATATATATATATATATATATATATATATATATATATATATATAGAGAGAGAGAGAGAGAGAGAGAGAGAGAGAGAGAGAGAGATTGCCACAATACATTTGCAAGTAAGTTCTTCACAATGCCTGGAGTGACCTTCTTTGGTAAAGGAGGACTTTTCACCAAAGAGATGAAATTATCAAATTATAATGTCATGTTTAAAGTTGCACTACCACTCCAGCTCACGGGCTCAATCATACAGTGCAGCTACACTACATGTATATAAATGCCAGAATGCAGTTTTTCTGCAGGGGTTTTTAGTATTAATAAATGTAATTTTTGTATGTCCTCATTTAGGTAATATAGTATACACTTTATTTAAACAATTGTATTCTTTTTTGAGGAAGAACTGACATACATTAAATGGACAAAAGTATTGGGACACCTACACATTACACCTACAGGGTTTTTATGACATCCCATTCTAAATTCCTAGGCATTAATATGGAGTTGGTCCCCCCTTTGCAGCTATAACAGCTTCTTCTCATCTGGGAAGCTTTCTACAAGATTTTGGAGTGTAGCTGTGGGAATTTTTGCCCATTCACCCAGAAGAGCATTTGTGAGGTCAGACACTGATATTGGACAAGAGGGCCTGGCTCACAGTCTCTGTTTTAGTTCATGACAAAGGTGTTTGATGGGGTTGAGGTCAGGGCTCTGTGTGGGCCTGTCAAGTTCTTCCACACCAAACTCACCTAGCCATGCCTTAATGGACCTTGCTTTGTGAACTGGGGCAGAGTCATGATGGAACAGAAAAGGGCTTTCCGCAAACTGTTCCCACAAAGTTAGTTGTCCAAAAGCTGAAGCATTAAGATTTCCCTTCACTAGAACTAAGGGGCCTAGGCCAACCCCTGAAAAACAACCGTATAGCATTATCCCTCCTCCTCCACCAAACTTTACAGCTGGCACAATGCAGTCAGGAAGGTAACGTTCTACTGGCATTCACCAAAACCCAGACTTGTCCATCAGACTGCCAGATAGAGAAGCTTGAATCATCACTCCACAGAATATGTTTCCACTGCTCCAGAGTCCAGTGGCGGTGTGCTTTACTGCACTCCATCTGACACTTGGCATTGCGCTTGGTGATGTAAGGCTTGCATGCAGCTGCTTGGCCATGGAAACCCATGCCATGAAGCTCCCAGCACACAGTTTTTGTGCTGATATTAATGTCAGAGGAGGTTTGGAACTGTGCAGTTATAGAGCCACCAGAGCGTTGGCGACTTTTATGCACTATGCGCCTCAGAACTCGGCGACTCCCCTCTGTAACATTACACTTCGTGGCTGAGTTGCTGTGGTTCCTAAATGCTTCCACTTTTCAATAATATCACTCACAGCCGATCATGGAATATTTAAGAGGGAGGAAATTTCATGAACTGACTTGTTGCAACAGTGGCATTCTATTATAGTACCACACTCAAATTCAGTGAGCTCTTTAAAACAACCCATTCTTTCACAAATGCTTGTAAAGGCAGACTGCATGGCTAGGTGCTTGATTTTACATACCTGTGGAAATGGGGCTGAATGAAACACCTGAACTCAGCGATTAAAAAGTGTGTCCCAACACTTTTGTCCACGTGTTTATGTGTCCATCTTTTCAGTGAACAAAAAGAAATCTCACTTATATAATTCCACATAATGTTGCTGCATCAGATCCAGTGAAAGACGGAAGGACACCAAAGACCACTGCAGCAGGTCATCCAGCTTGGTGCAAACTGCATCCAGTGTGTGCTGCTGTGTGGTCATAACTTTTAAATTAAAAATGTCCATTTCTGATTCAAATGTATCAGACCAAGTAACCTGAGAATCACTTGAGGATTGTTCAAGGCAGTCTTCTGTAAAACACAGAGACTTTTAGCTTGCATTTAAACAGTAAGGCCTCTTGTTGTCATCAGAATTATTTGTGCTTTTGCGTCTATTGTGACGTCACAATGCCAAACTTTTAGAACATCGCATTCTGCAGATCACATGAACCATCATCATCATCATCATCATAGTCATCATCATCATTATCATCGTCGTCGTCGTCATCATCATCTTCTCTTGTAACTCAGGAAACTATCAGGTTTCATCGTGGACTTTCTGAAGTAGCAGTGAGTAATCTACAGCTTTTCTGGGTGTAATTAAGGTCCGTTCGCTAGGGGGCGGTACAGTCCGTAATAACACGAGCACCTTCGCCAGTGTTCAGCCTGATCACTTTGTGGTGCAGCTCTGAAGCTGGTAAAGCCTATGTGTATATTTTTGATACACTTTCAGACTCAGACCCGCTTTACATTGATACTGTTCACTACACATCACGTATCCTTTTAAATGTGCTCAGAAGTCTGACTCTCACGTTACTTACGCTACTGCTTCAACCACAGCTACCAGCCTGAGAGCGCTCTCCCGTTCTGTAAACGGTCTTGAATTGAGTGAAAGTGCAGCTGAGCCGAGTGCAGCAGTGGAGGAGCAGAAAGCGCTCTTCCATTGTTAGAAAATGACAGTGAAAGCCACAGTCACGCCGCTTGACTGGTTTAAGCGTATGTAAGGGTACGACCGTTAGATTAAACCCTCCTTTGTGGGAACAGAAAGAGAAGACAGGGCGGAATCGAGCCAAACACAATCGGGCTGTTTTGGTGACATCACCAGCTTTCGCTGCATCCATACGACACCCTGCTGTTTCCCACCACTGTGGGCTGCTTTCCCTGCTGCCTGTTCACAGCCTCGTCTGTCTGCTCCTACACTCTCCTGTCCGGCCCGGATCTGCACTGTATCAGTGAGGGGCGCTTTACTGCTCTCCCGGAGGCAGGAGGGGGAACAATAGAGGCCAGCAGCTGCAGGACGAGGACACACCGACATCCACAAGGCAGGGATGGGGAGGCTTTAACGCTCTAGCAGCACGGCGCGCCTCTCTGGATTTACGTTCAGCGTTCCGTACAAGCCGGGAAGGCGCCGAGCAGGGCAAGATGAACAGCGGCGAGGCGGCTGAGGAGGGACCCAACGACCCGGACACAGAGGCGTTCTTCAAAACAGGTAGGATGGATGGGAGGAGATCACCGGTCATGTGCGGCTTCATCGGTCTGAACTTAAATGGGAAAGAATGAAAGCAACTTAAAAACTCAAATTCATGCAGCTGAGGGTGTGCGATGGATCCCATAGATCCAGGGCTTTGTGCGCTGAGCGACTGAATAAAAGAAGGAGATTTGAGCGATGTGATTGGTTTTTGGAAAGGAGAGCCATGCGTGAAGCTTTGTGAGTGAAAATGCTGGAATAAGCCAATGTAGTACACTATGAGGCTGCTGGCTGTGTTTGGGGATGGTAGGCGATGCCCGGGCTTTGTTTGACACCTCCACTCCTTCCTGTCAACTGCTCCACTCTCACACTCGCCTCTGGATCCCAAACGCGCTCAGAATGCCCACTTTGCCATCTCAAAACCTCCCAAACACGCGATGAAACCGCAGTCTATTGTTGTTTTTTGTTGATGTACAGGGAGCATCTACTCCGTTCTTCATCCAGAAGAGCTTGTTGTTGCATGGAAGCTGATGCCAAAGTAGCTGTGCTTCAAGGAGATGAAGATGAATGTGATTAGTTATATATTGTGTGCCAGCAAGGGTGCTGGACATTGTTTTCTGGCAGGATTGTGATCTATGTGCTCTTTTGGTGTCTTTCTGCTGAATGTGGCAGCTTGCTATTGACTTGAGTAGACTGTTCTGAGAGAAAACCATTTCTACCAGTTCTACAGCTATAGCAATGGATAGATCATTGAAGCAAGAGACAACTGTTTTTTTGTTTCTTGTGCAGTACATCTTCAAAATTAAATGAACAGAAAATGAAACCTTGTGGTAGAGAGTGTGTACAGGGTTTCCAAAATCTATTCGTAAGCCTCTGTGTGCTACAGTACACAACATTACAATTTAAACATCAACAATTCCTGTTGCCTCTTACTACCAACATGGATGCGCACAAACACATCTCCATCCACAGCACGAGGACACACCCCAGCAGTCACAACACTCTTCTGCATCAGTACACTGCCTACCACCTCTTTCCTCAATACCGTGGTACACGTCACAGCACGTGTGACTGTTCCTCTGAGTGCATTTGAGATCATTCAAAACCTAATCTCTAGCTTAGGTGCCTTGAAGCCATGAAAGTGTGTTGCTCTTCTATGTGTGCCTGGATGAATCAGAGATTTCTGTTTTTTCAGCCGAAGGTCATTTCTGAAAGGGAGATTTCCCTTTTCATGTGGCACCTTAATGCAGACCAGCTTCTATAGCTTCTTTGACTGCAACCATCTGAAAGCTGAATCAGTAATGATGGTGGTGGGGGAAAGACTCCGGCTCGTGGAAGTGTTGAGTGACGCATTGTGTTGTGGCCGTTTTTAGGGTGCGTACCGCAGCTACTCTGAGTAAACCTTGCCTCTTCTCATTTTGAAGTTCGGGAGGTCTAAACCACAGCCACACTGAACAGTCTAGACTTTGCTTAGCACACAGTTGTAGAATTGGAATCTAGAATTTAGAGGCCCATGTTGGAAATCTGGAAGTGCCGTTGAGTTCTTGATTTGTTCAATCTGGATGTGGAGCCTCAGCTATAAAGACCAAGCACTGCTTTTGAGGAGAAGGCTAAGATGACTTGCAGATGGCATGGAGGTCTGAGAGAGCTATCAGAGAGGAGAGAGTGTCTTTACTGTGGTTCAGCTCAATGGATAGAAGGACTTCTGCCTCTACCAGCGCAGGGGGATTTCATCAGCGGATTGTACTGATACGTCATGGCAGCCTTGGCCCCAGGGGAGGCCAAAAGATGGAGAGGGATGGAGAGAGGAATAGAGTTCGGCAGAGAGAGATGGATAGAAAGTAGGGCCGCAGGATATGGGCAAAATACTAGTATTGCACGTATTACAATCGCGATATGCCTTGTGATATATTAAAGATGCATTGGTGGACTAATAAATTGACGCATCATTTTAACCAAAGTTATTTACTTAATCTTTAACTGGGATGCATGATGATTTTGGAATCCCCATTATTATCAGTAGATGATTGCTTTAAAAAATGACCAGAATCAGACGTTTAAGTTCAAACTGATATTTGACAACCTATTTATTGTACTTCAGAAGAGCAGAACTCTCTACAAATCAGTTTTATGTTTTTCTGTAATGCTGATCCAAGTGGGTCTGATCCCAGTTTGTGCATGTTATAAATGTTTATGTACCAGCATTGGTAGATATACATTGATAAAATATCTGATATCAGCGTTGACCCTCAGTTTCCATATTGATGCATCCCTGGTCGTGATGTTCACAGCCTGAAGCACACAACATAGAAACCGTGATTTTTGTATTGTGTATCTGCATATTCTGAACATCAGTATTGCAAAGTCCAATATCTCAATACCCATTAAACAAACAATATATTTTTCAGCCCTTACAGAGAAAGAGAGAGACAGAGAGAAAAATGGATGCTCAGAGCTGTGCTGAGACAGGCAAAGTAAGACAGACAAAAAGTAGGAGACCAAAACAGTGAGAATGAAAGGGCTCATAAAGGCCTTCACATTCGCAGCTCCTCCAACAGCAGTGGGTGTTTGCCCTCAGAGAGAAAGGCATTACGTGGCTGAGTGAGCAGTAATCCATTCACAAACAGCAGTCTGAATGAGCTGAAGTGGTTTTATGTCCTCGGCCTTACGGCAGCCTTCCTGCGTCTGCGCCGCTTAGAGCCCGATTAACCTCCAGCCAAACTTACACTCACCCATGTGTGAGCAGGCTTCAACTTAGCAGCGCCTTTTAGCATAGAGTTACTGCGCCCAATCTTTTGCTGGCCAGCCGTCTGAAATAAATAAAAGGGAGGGATGAGAAAACTCTTCCCCTGCTTCTGTGTTTTCCTTCATCTGTTCAGGAATGATTTAGTGAGAGGCATCTTATTCCTAACTATTAGGAAAAGAGTCATTTGGGCCACAGCTGTTGGTTTTTAACAAGGCAAGCTACAGCCGAGTAAGAAGCGGATGTCTCCTCAGGTAATAACGGGAGCGGATTGGCACAGTACAACCCTCCAATCAATACCTGTATAGCTTTAGCCTTTTTTGTCAACAACAATCGCCTCCCTGCCAGGCTGATAGAGTACAGCTGCAGCGCCTGGCTCCAGTTCCTGCTCTTCCTCTCCAAAAGCTTCTCCACTCTGAGCAAGGAGGATTTTCTTCATCGATTACCTAATCACTCAGTGAGCTGGGATCAGGGCCAGGCTCTCAGGAGCCATGGCTGATGTCATATAGAATCCAGACCTGGAGGTGCAGGTAATGACATGACAGGGCTATTCTTAATGACCTGGTGTAAACGGTAGGATTATTCAGGGATTTACAGTACTTGCATATAGATAATTACATTTATATTGGCTAAACCATGTAGGAACCCCAAACCTTTTTTGTGCATAGTCTTCCCAATTTTGTGTGTGTCAGTCAGGCTTCTGCATGAGCCGATATAACTGCCAGGTGCATCTTTTCTCTGCTTTAGGCCATCTTCGGTAAAGCAACCACATAATGAAGTTACAATAATTAGTGCCCTCATTTCCTGAAACTCTTGTTTAGTATTTACCCCAGCAAAGTAGTTAGATGTGGAGTTTCTCGAACTGAACAATGGATGAGTGGGTTGACAGGGACATAAGTGGTCAGACAGGGTGTGTCACAGTTTTTGTGTTTATTCTTGTTGTATAGTAGGTGGATACATATTAACAAAGCCAGCTGAGTGAATTAAAGTGTGATCTGCTAATCACAGGACATGGAGAAAATCAAACTAGGTCACATTTCATTTCACAAAGTACTGTGTCCCCCTGTGTGTTTGTAAGTTCATGAAATGGCCCACCTAGCTTAGAGTCATTGCTAGCTAGAAGAAACTTAGCATATACATTGTTGTAGAGCTTGAGAATTAATTTATGATAGGGTGTGAAGGTCTGCTGTCTATATTATATCTGAACTGAGTGAAGAATTCAGCATTGAACCCTGTGCCTTATTTTCCATGAAGGGCCCATATTACGTAAAACCTAATTAGTATGCAAAATAATTAGATTTTAGATTTTACATAGTTAAAGTTTCAAAACATACCATTGACTCTCTAGTCCCTACAGTCCGTATACAGAAACTATGCTGCAAAAACATGTTCACGTTTCATGATGTCACGAAAACCAGCATATTTACATTTATCCAACCTATGTCAGTTTAGCCCTGCCCATTTATGTTGACATTATAATGAGTGTTTCAGCATGGGCTGCGTTTTGAATAAGGCAAAATAAAGGGCAGCCAGTAAGAACAGCGATCTTGTTCATATATCAGTCTTAGGCACAGTAACAAAAACGGCCTGTTTCATTCTAAGGAGATATATATATATATATATATATATATATATATATATATATATATATATATATATATATATGTGTGTGTGGTTTAAGACTGAATTATGTAAATGACCACTGTTCTGATGGACTACTCTGTACTGTCCAGGCTGAAACACTCATATGTAAATGTGTTGGCTTTGTGATGTCACAAAAATAGTGAATTAAAATTGGAGTTTGGTTTCTGTAAATAAGGAATGGACTGGAGAATGAACGGTATGTTTTGAAACTTAATATACAAAATCTTTTATTTCAAAAAGTGAAGAAAATTTGGTTTTCCATGATTTGGATCCTTTGATTATATTTGAACTAGAATAGCCTGACACAATTACAAACGGATCTTTCTCCTCATACACAATTTAGCACTGGAGTCACATTCAAACCAGACTGATTGGATTCATTCACTACGCTGAGCACTGAGTGGCAGGTAAATTCTGTTGTGACAGACCTTGGCTTTCCTCCAGCAGTGTGTGTGTTTGTGTGTGAAGGGGGGGTTGGGGGGGGGGTCTCCTTCTCCTTCTCCTCCTCCTCTTCCACTCACCACATCATGGCGTCTTTCCGTGCCCCACACACAGGCTCCAACATGGGGAGAACAATAGGGCGAAACGGGCCACTGTCAGCTGGGACAAAGAACACACCCAAGCCTCACTGTGT